CAGCCCCTCCCTCTCCCAAAGGTCTCTGTCTCCCTCCTCTCACTCCAGCTCCTCCGAGATTCTCTGCCTGGGCCTTCCACCCTCTGTCCTGAGGGCAGTGGACCCTGGCCTGGCCCTTGGTGGCCCCACCCTCACCACCTGCCCCAGCCTGGCTGGTGCCCCCACCCCGTGGAGGCTCAGTCACAACCTGTCCCCGAGACCCCACCAGAAACAGTCTGTGCTGGGGGAGCCAGGTCTGCCTGTCCGTGACCCAGGGTGATCGTGAGTGGGCAGTGGGCAGGGCCGCTGGGAGCAGCCCGGATTCCAGGCCCAGGGAGGAGCTTGCCCTCATCTAAGCCGGTGGCTGCCTCCCTCCCAGCTGGCTGCTCTCCTGGCCCCTGTGCTCTCAGGTGGACAGAGCCAGACCCATCCTCACACACACAGGCCGCCCTCCACGGCGCCCAGCAGAAACTGCCCAGGCTGGGAGCAGGGACCACGGGGTGATGGGGGGCCTTGGAGGCCTGTGACCGAGGGGCTTGCCCAGCTCCACAGCGCCTGGCACCCCCCGCCCCTGCTAGGAGCTTCCTTCCCTCACCACTGGCTCTTCTCAGAGCCGTGGCCCTGCCTCCCTGGTTCGCCTTGAGCCCCCGGGAAGGCCCATCTCAGGGGCGTGGGCCCAGGCTCCATGTGGCCTACCCGCGTCCCACAGTCGGGAACCCTGACCGGGGGTGGGCACAGGCTGCGGAGCGGCCTCTGGAATCAGGTCTCCACCGGTGCCCTGCAGGGGCCAGCCCCTCTTGCTGAAGGGGAGTGTGGGGCTTCCAGTCTCTGCGGGGAGTGGTGCTCAGCCTGGTGCTGCCGTGACCCGGGGTCCTCCCAGGCTCGGCCCCTGCCCAGACCTCACCGGCCTGGGGAGCTTCCGCCCAGCCCCTAAATGGGCAGGTGGGGACACTAGCTTTGACCTTCCATGGCCGAGCTGGGCGCTTCCTGAAGCCAGGCTGAGCCTCAGAGGTGGTCCACAGTGCTGGCATCCTGGAGCTGAGCATACCAAGGCTGTGGGGGTGGGGTGGGGTGGGGGTGGGGGTGGGAGTAGAGGTGGGGGTAGGGGTGTGGGGGGAGAACCCCACAAGAGCCAAGGCAATGGTCTGAGGCCTCTGTCTGTTCTCGCATAAATATAGAATTAGAAAAGATTGGAGATCCAGTTAGATTATGATTACAATCATAATCACACAGCTGTTCACATGCAATCAATCACATGACCTTTAATGTTACCAATAAGTCTCAGGTCAAGAAGTACGGGACTGAGGTGGCATCGGGAAAGAGGTGACCCTAAGGCAAGATGCTCTAAGTCCTCTGTCCCGCCCGCATAAGGACTGCTGGAGGGCGCCTCGGCTGTGCCAGTGTCAGCGCCGGGAAAGCGCCCGCTGTTTAGCCAGCTAGGGAAGGAGACGTCCAAGGTGGCCGAGACGTCTCTGTCCTCGGGGGAGTGAGGAGAAACGCGGCTCCTCCAGGCCCTGGCAGCTGTTGGGGGCCCCCGCAGGCATCGGGGCTGGTCTCCGCGCTGCGCCTAAGCGTCACGTTCCTTGTCTACTTTCAAGTTCCGCTTCTGCACCTGCTTCCTCTCTTCCTTCTAAGATAAGAATTAGTGACGGTAACACAAATGTTAACGTCCTTCATATCCTTGACAGACATGAAAAAAGTGCTGACGCACGAGCTTTCCTCCTCGCCTCGGCTGCTTGGAAGACCTGGGCCCTGTCGCCGCCCCGTTACCTCGCCTACCCACCCTGCCCCCTGCTTGGGACTCAGTAAAATCAGAGCGTCCAGGCCCTCGGGGCACTGCAGGACTCTGGGCCTCGGCAGCAGTGGACCCCGGGCCCAGGCTCTCTTTTCTCTAAATCTGTGTCTTGTGTCTTTATTGTCACTGTTTCTCGTCTGCACACCTGCAGAGAGGGGCTCACGGGACCCCGTAGGGCTGGACCCGATGGGGGTGGGTATGGCTGTGGAGGGAGAATTTCTGGCCCCTAGGGGAGCACTGTGCTGGGCTGTCCCCACCGCACCCGGCCCTGGATCTCCTGCGGCAGTCTCAGGGTGCTCCCGCTCTGACCCTGACTTGTCCAGAACACCCCACGCAGGGTCTCACCCGGGTACTGCCCTCACCTACTGAAGATCCCTAGCAGGGCAGCTCTGACAGTAGTGAGCCTCTGGAGCCACGAGACCTGGGCACCGCTGGAGGGCAGGCAAAGCAGGGCCTGAGAGGGTGGGGCATTGGGGCTGCTCCTCCCCAATCCCAGGCTAGGGGAGCTGATCCCAGGTCGCAGGTGGGTGGGGCCGACGAGGTCCCCATGAGTTATTCAAGGCTGGTGGACATTCAGTCAAATTCAGGTCCCACCAGTCACTGGGACAGCCTCGGTCCTTGAGGGCAAACCATCGGTGGGGACACTGGACAGGGGCACCAGCGCCCCCAGAGGACGCTGGCCAGGGCCCCAGGGCGGAGACTGCTTCTCTCCAGGAAAAGGTTGGGGTCAGTTCTGGGAGCCCAGGCCCAGGCCACCAGGCTTGTCTCTGACCTGCCTGTACCGCAGGCCGGGGGATGGCCTTGATGACTTCTTAAGGTAGAGGCCAAGTCCTTGCATTCTGTGACTCAAAGCAACTTGTTCCCAGAGCGGCGGGGTGGGGTGGCCAGCTTCTTCCTGCCCAGCCCTCCCCCAGCCTCTACCGAGGTCCTGCATGGCAGCAGAGCTCAGAGCAAAGGGAAGGACGAGGAGAGTTCGCAGGGGGGTCCTTGTCCCTGCTTGAGCTGCAAGAGGCTCCTCGAAGGCCCGCCCGCCGCTGTCCACCTCGTGCAAGCACAATCCCGGCTGGAGAGGAGGGGAGAAATCTGGCATGAGTTCACCAGGAGCTGGCAACTGCCCGGCCCTTCCTGGATTTGGTGGGAGATGAATCTCCAGCCCTCGTCGGGCCCAGGTACCCCCAGGAATCAGGGCTTGTGGGCGGCTCCGCACTCATGCAGCCATGCCTGGGGAGTGTCCCTGGCCGCCCGCTGGCCATCTTGACCACGGAGACTAAGGAGTCGGTTCCCGAACTGAGCATGAGTTCACCATTTCTCCCAGCTCTCCAGGCGCCACCGGTGACCACTTGGTCTCGGTAACGACTGATCATGGAGGAGAAGGGGACATGGGGCCTGTTGGGCCTTCTGCTGCCCACCAGAAAGTGGGGAAGGGGAGGGGCTTGGTCCTTTCTCCAGGCACTGGGTTTAAGGGCTGGGCACCTGAGATCCCCTGGGAACCCCTGGGGCTATGGGAGGACCTTGCCCCACCAGGCTCCCCAGTCCCTCCCAGGCCTGCCCAGACTGGAGCCATTCAGACCCAGAGCCACATCTCCCGGGTCTCCCTGCCCTGTGCCACCTGCCACCACGCCCTGGGGCTTGCTCACCACCGGGAGGCCCCTTGTCCTGGACCTACCTGGCCTTGGTAGGGACCTCCAGCCAGGCCACTCAGTGAGCTGCCAGCCCCACCAGGGCCGAATGGCAGCCGGGACTCAGTCGGCAGAGGGCAGGAGGCCAGGCCTGCAGTGGTGCTCCAGCTACAACTGTCTTCCTGCCCCTCCCTGTCCTGATGGGAACCCCCAGCTTTGTAGCTGAGCCAGGCCTGGGGGCCATGCGGGGTCCTGGAGTTAGACGACACCCCCCCAAATGTTCCAACAGACCTCCCTCTCAGCCTAGGGCACAGATGGCATCTGAGCTAGCAGGGCACTGCTGCTCTGGGTAGGGGGGATTCTGGGAGGCCCGGGGAGGGGGGATTCTGAGGCCTGCCCCGGCCCCTTCTCCTGCTTACCCTCCTTCTCCATGACTCTCAGGGGCCTCCGTGCTCCCCGGGACTCACTCCCTCACCTTGGCCTCTGCCTGGGACGCTACCCAGCCACCCCCAGCAACCCCAACACCAATACTGCCCACCAGCTGCTGCTGCATATGCCTCCGCCCCAGGCCCCCGGACCCCCAAGCCTGGGTTCCTTGACCCCCGGGCCACTGGGGAGGAGAAGCAGTGCAAGCTCAGTTCCAGGGCCCATGCGCCCCGGCAAGGGGTGGGCCACAGAACCCAGGAAGGGGACGGGCTCCAGCCCCCAGTGGTTGCCAGTGGCCCCCTAGAAGCCAGCCACCCCACGCCGTCCCAGTCACTCCTGCTCTCATGTACATTTCCTAGCTCCCCACCTGGGCCCACCTGCCAACCAGGGGCAGCGCTCACCCACCACACCTGCCGGGACAGCTCAGTCCACCAGGAGCCTGCCTGTGACAGCCCACGGCAGGGCCCAGCCAGGGCCGACAAGCTGGAGGGGCCCAAGGGGCTGGGTGCAGCGCTGGGGTAACGGGACAGGCCCAGACTTGGGGGAGGGCAGACTCAGGGTCGGGTGGTTGCTGGGAGAAGGCAGGGCCTCTGGCAAGGGATAGGCCTGTGCCCAAGCCCAGAGGTACCCAAGCTGCAATGGGTGCCCAGGGGCCACTCTCAGAGTCCCAACAACTGGCCATGGGGAAGCCGTGCCCAGCACACCTGGCCCTCAGGCCCCTGCGGGGCAGACCCAGTTTCTCTACCTCGGCCGCAGCTTCCCATCACCAGTTCACTTGCTGGGCGTTTCAGGATCAAACTCTCAGGTGGAAGTGAGGCTTTGTGTCCCCCTCTGGGGTCTCAGGGCTCGAAAGGGATTGATGGTAGGGCCTGCAGGATGTGGGTCCTGCCCCCTCCATGGGAAGTGGCCAAAGGCCTTGGAGGCAGGCACAGCTGAGGCACACAGCCCCGTCCCTATCAGGGCTTCGGGCCGGTGGGTCCTGCCGGCAGGAGGAGGGTGGCAAGGCCGCTGCCAGCTCTGTCTCTGGGACAAGTGGGCAGGGGCCTCAGCCTCAGCCAGGGCAGCAGGCCCAGCCTCTTGCATAAGCGCCCTGTAGGGGACGAGGCTGCAGCAGCGCCCGGCCACCCCACCCCCCAGCATCACGAGTCTTCAGTGGGCTGTCCTGGGGCCCTGGGTGAGGCCAAGCCTGGCCCATAAATAGGGGTCTCCTCCGTGCTCTCCACTCCTGCCGCACACCTCCCTCCCTCGCCCACACCGCTGGCACCGGGCCCCAGACACCTGCTCTGCTTCGAGAGAATGGCTGCTCAGCACACTCTGTGGATGGGGCTGGTCCTGCTGGGGCTGCTGGGCGGCCTGCAGGCAGCAGCCGAGGCCCAGGTCTCCGTGCAGCCCGACTTCCAGCAGGAAAAGGTGAGGGGCTTCCCTGCGCCATCCCCGAGAGCTACAGGGCCCGGTCGGGGAAGGTCACTTTCCAGCTGGGTCTTCTCCCCGGCGGAGGGAGCGAAGTTCCGCAGTGCCCGGCAGTGCCGGCCAGGGACAGAGCCGGGCGCGCAGGAAGGAGGCTGGGCGGCGGCCCGAGGAGCTGACCACGAGGGGCCCTCCCTGGGCACCACGTCCAGTCTCCCCGATGGGCCACACAGACACCGGTCCACACGCGCCCACGCCATCCAAACACGGCCATCGCTACGGGCAAGCGACCCCCAGAGGACACACGAGCGCACGTTCCACACCTGGGTGCCAGGACACGGGCGGGGGGCGGTGGCGCACGGGGATGGCGCGCGCGGGGGACCCGCCCCGCACAGAAAGCCGGCGACGCGCGCTCTCGCCCGGGAGCTACTCGGGGACGCGCCGGAGCGCGGGTTCTCCGGCCGCGCGCCCCTCCCCAGGGCCGAGGAGACCCCCCAGCGGTCCGCGAAGCGGAGCCGAGGACCCGCCCACCCCCTGCGGGAACGCCGCGTCCTCTGCCGCCCGCTGAAAGGGCCGGGCGCCCCGCCAGGGCACAGAATCGGGACCGGGGGCGGAGGGGCCGGAGGTGGCTGGTGCGGGGGTCCACGGGGGGGCACTGTCCTCGGAGGGGGCGTGGCCAGCTCCCGGGGCGGGGCCGTTTGTGGGCGTGGCGAGGGCGTGGCTTCTTGGGGATTGAACGTGGGGACCCGGCCGGGTTGGAGCCGGGACAGGAGGGGCGGAGGCGCCCCGCGGGTCGGCACCAGTGGTCCGGAGGGTCCTGGCCGACGCGGTGGGGCCGCTCGCCGTAGTTCCTGGGGCTCTGGTTCAGCGCGGGCCTCGCCTCCAACTCGAGCTGGCTCCGAGAGAAGAAGGCGGCGCTGTCCATGTGCAAGTCGGTGGTGGCCCCGGCCTCGGATGGCGGCCTCAACCTGACCTCCACCTTCCTCAGGTGTGACAGCGGGCAGGTGGGCTTCTGGGACGCAGAGGTCTGGGAACACCCTCGGGCCTGGCCCCTGACCCTGAGGTCACCCACCTGCAGGAAAAACCAGTGCGAGACCCGAACCATGCTGCTGCAGCCCGCGGAGTCCCTCGGCTCCTACAGCTACCGGAGTCCCCGTGAGTGGGGCCTCCACCGCCCCCTGGGCCCGGCCTGGGGGTGACACTTGCCGGGCTGACTCTCGGCCAGCCCCCTGCCTCGGAGATCCATGGGGTGGGGGGTGATGGCCGCCCCACCAGGGCAGAGAGGCCAAGGCCAGGTCTCGGCATGACTGCCCATGCACCAGCGTGGGGGACAGAGGGACCCTTCCTCCAGGGGGTGGGACCCTCTCTGGAGCCCACTAATGTCTTGCCAGGCCCTTCTCCTGTTCCCTGGAGTTTTCCCCACATACGCAGCCCCCAAAGGCCCTCCACACACCTCCTCCCAGTTCTCCTCCCCAGGACGCAGGGGCTTCCTCACCCCTCCTGGGGAATGGCTCCTGCTGGGAGACCTCTTCACTTCCCGGTTCTGGCAGCGAGTTCTGGGGCTGCACCAAGAATCCGGTTTTCTGAACCTGGCTCCCCCAGACGTCTGGTTTGGGAGAGTTCACAGGCTGTGTAGGCAGGAGCGGGGTGTGGGCTGGAGAGCAGCGGGCTTGGGGAGAATCCCAGGCCGGAGGAGGCCTGAGTGCCCACAGCCCACCGGCGCACCCCCTCCCTGAAGCAGAGCTGAGTCCCCAACAGGGCCATCTCTTGGGTTCCCAGACTGGGGCAGCACCTACTCGGTGTCAGTGGTGGAGACGGACTACGACCAGTACGCCCTGCTCTACAGCCAGGGCAGCAAGGGCCCCGGCGAGGACTTCCGCATGGCCACGCTCTACAGTACGTGCCCAGGGGGCTGCCCCGAGGGTGGGGCCGGATGCAGCCTGACCACAGGGGCACCCCCAGACTCAGGGAGAGCGCACACCGTCCCCCTCGCTGACGCCAGCTGTCTCTTCCCTGTCCCAGGCCGAACCCAGACCCCCAGGGCTGAGTTCAAGGAGAAATTCACTGCCTTCTGCAAGGCCCAGGACTTCACAGAGGATACCATTGTCTTCCTGCCCAAGACCGGTGAGGCCCTAATCTGATGGGGAGAGGATTAAGGTCAGATTAGAGGCAGGCAGGCAAGCGGTCTCTGACTGCAGGAGGCAGAGGGGAGGAGGTGGCCCCACCCTGCGCCTGCTGACTTGCTGGAGGCCTGGGCCTGCAGCCCTTCATGAGGAGCCACCTCCGTGGGGGATGTGGAGGCCAGGCACCTACTCCATACCAGGCCCCAGCAACTCCCAGGATATGGGGCTCCAGCCTGGTGGAGGGTGTAGGATGGGGTGCCCATGGGGGACACAGGTGGACAGCCTGCTCTCAGCAGAGGTGGAGAAAGGCCCTCTCTGTTTCAGGGGGCCATGGGAGAGGTGGGAGGTGATGGGGGTCTGTGCGGTTTGGGGGTTTATTCAAGACCAGCTCTGCATTCAGGGAGGGACAGGAAGTCCCATGGGAAAATTGGCCTAAGCCTGGGGTTCTGACGACAGCCCCCGGCTTCTTTCTTGGCAGATAAGTGCATGACGGAACAAGAATAGGTGAGCCACTTCATTCATTCATTCATTCATTCAGCACACATCCAGCCCACCCACTCTGCGATGGATCAGGGTCCCAGGACAGCCTGGTGCTACAGACCCATCCTTCCTGGTGGCTGCAGTCCAGGACCAGGCAGGAGACACAGGGGCTGCCCACATTGACGGGTGCCCAGGTCTGAGGCTCGGAAGGAAAACTTGTCCCAGCCACTGGAATAGGGCTGGTCCCTGAGGGCTCCCATGGCAGGGTGCAGGTGCGAGACCCCAGGCAGACAAGGCTGAGGGGCTGAACCACAGGGGCCATCTGGCAGCGAGGGGCACCTGGCTCCTGGGGTGGGAGGGAACCAGGGTGGGTGAGATGGGATGGGAGGAGACGGGACAGAAGGGAGGGCTAAGGATGCTTCGTGGAGGCTGTGGGAGACCTCAAGGAAGCAGGCTCCAGGCGGATTGACCCCACCCCCAGGAGGGAGGCCTAGGCTGGAGCTGGAATCTGGACCCTGGGGTAGGGAGGGGTGGAGTCTGGACCCTGGGGCAGTGGGGATCTGAGCCCCAGCGATGGATCTTGCTGTCTCATCGGGGCTCATGGGAGCCAGGGGCAGAGGAAAGCCCCCCTACCCGCACCTGCTCCATCCAGCCGGAGTGGGGGTGGGCTGGGAAGACCGCAGCCTCCATCATGGCCTTCCTCTTGCACCCCCAGGCCTGAAGCTGGAACCCCCGCCAGCCAGGTGACCCCCAAGTTCTGGATGTCTCTGCTCTGTTCCTTCCCTGAGACCTGCCCCGGCTCCCCACTCAAGTGCCCCCGCTCCCTTGGGCTTCATTCTGGCTCTATGCAATAAACTCTGGAAGCAAGTCAGCAGGCTCCTGGCTGTCTGTGCTGGTGTCACCCGTCCTGGGCCTGGCCCCGGCCACCTCGACCTCCCACTCTGTCAAATCCCAGCCTGATGTCAGCAAAGGAGCAGGCCCTCCAGTGTTTGCTCCCAGTGGGGTCCTGAGTGGGGTCCTGAGTCAGGAGAGCCAGGAGGCGTGTCCCCCACCCACTCCACACGATCGTGTGACCCTGCCACGGCCCCACGTGTCCAGCCACACCCCCTGAGCTGCCACTGCCGCCAGGCCGGTGCTGAGCTGGGGGGTCAGTGACTCATCTCATCCCCTAGGCAGGTGTCCTGTACCCCCAACCCCACCCTGTCACCCCCTCAGCAGGAAGGGCCTGAGTCTGGAGGCCCCAGAGGAGCTTTGGACCTGTTGGGTGTCTCAAGGTGTGGGACTGGGCAGAGATAAGGGTTTCAGGGGACAAAAAGGAACATTTGTTTGAAAGATGCTAGAGTGTCTCCACCCCCCACTAGGACAGACTGACAGAGGGGACAGGCCACCCCACATCCCTCTGGCTCTCTGAGCACCCCCTGCCCTCTGACCTGGGCTTCCAGACCATAGCCCTGTCCACAAGCCAGAGCCCTGGCACCACTGCCACACCACGCCCGGCCAGTGTCCTGCCCAACCCTGCTCCCTCCCACCCTCACTGTGACCTGCCCACCAGGCCCCCCACCAAGGCAGGCCCTGCAGAGGCACCAAGCATTTGAGGCTCAGAGGTGAGGGTGAGGTTCTGGGTGGCCTTCCAGGAGAAGGGAGTTTGAGGCTGTGCCTGAGCTCAAGGGGGGATCCCACATCCTAGGGAGTCTGCAGACGGCCAAAGAGGCAGGGTGGGTGAGCTGCAGGCCCCCACCCCGGAGGCCTGTCAGAACTACCCCCAGCTGCCAAGCATCCGGCCCCACCCCGGAGGAAAGGCAGGGCTTGGTAGGGGATGGCGGGGCTTGGGCGGAAGAAGCTGGACCAGAGTGCTGCAGGGTGCAACGTGATCAGAAGCCTATCAGGGTGGGTGCAGTCCCAGTCCAGCCGCCCCAGGGCATCTCAGGGGCATAAAGCCTACAGAGGAAACACCCCAGCTCTGCCCTGCTCCCGAGTCCCAAGGAGACACTGAGCCACCTTGCTACACGGTGCTTCGAGCTCTGCTGATCAGCTCCCTCCCTGCCCTGCTCTGGGGGTCCCCAGGCCAGGCCCAGGTCCCCATCCAGGCCAACTTTCATGCCAGCCAGGTGCGCCCAGACCTGGGGACACGTTCTCTAAGTGCAGCACTTTGGTGCTGAACCCCGGGTCCCTGTCCACACCCTCTTTGATCCAGGCTCAGCAGGGCTGAAGCAGGGGATCCCCCGCACACCTGCTCTTTCTGTCGGGATGGGGCGTGGCTGGGGAAGACTGCAGTCCGCCACCCCAGCTTTTCCATTGCATCCCCCCGTCACTCCCCAGGGCCAAAAGCTGGGACAAGTCGCAGCTGCCTGCACCTCACGTCCCCCCCCGGCCGACCCCACACAAGCTTGTGACCTCGCCACAGCCCCACCCATCCAGCTGTCCCCCGCACTGCCCGCTGCAGACAGCTGATGCTGGGCTGATGGGGGCCATTGCTCCTCTACTGAGGCCCCCCTCCTCCGTTCTGCATCAGAGTGGACATGCGCGCAGCAGCCCCCGTCCTGGCCAGGAAGCAGCTGTGTCAGGATGGAACGCGGTGGGTAGAAAATGGTGGGCTCAGGCCCAGGGCACGGGGCCACCTCCCAGCCTTCCATGCACTCACCCTGCGGTTCCAGGGCACCTGGTACATGGTCGGGGTGGTGTCAGATGACCCAGACTTCCTGGACCCGAAGGACACTGTGAAGATGCCCGTGGTCTTAGTGACCCCCTTGGTGAATGGTGACCTGGCCCTCATGTTTGGATACCCCATGTAAGTGATCCCACAAGCCCCACATCACACTCAGCCTCAGACAAGGGCCAGCATGAGGCAGATGAAGGTCCAGAGGGACCATGGTGTCTTCAGCGCGTCGGGCTCAGACCACGGGCCCTCGAGGGCTCCTCGTGGCCAGTCCCAGACAGCAGCCACAGGACTCCAGAGGGATCCAGGCCCTGGAGGAAGCCCTGCCTGAGGCCTGGTGCTGAGAAAAGTGTCCGCATGTCTGTGTCTGTGTCTGTGTGTGTATCACTATATGTGACTGTCTCTGTGTGAGTCCGTTTCTGCATGTGTGTGTGTATATGCATGTGTGTCTTCTGTGTAGCTGTGTACCTCACTGTGTGTGTATCACTATATGCATCTGAGTGTCTGTGTATCTGTGTCTGAATGTCTGTGTGTGTCCATCTCTGTGTGTGTGTCTTCTGTGTAYATCTGTGTCTGTGTGTCAGTGTATCTATGTGTGTATGTGCATGTGTGTATGTGTGTCTTCTGTGTWTGTGTCTTTGTGTGTGTGTCAGAGTGTCCGTGTATATGTGTGTGTGTGCATGTGTGTATGTGTGTCTTCTGTGTATGTGAGTGTGTCTTCTGTGTGTGTGTCAGTGTGTCCGTGTATCTGTGTGTGTGTGTGCATGTGTATATGTGTCTTCTGTGTGTGTGTGTCAGTGTGTCTGTGTATCTGTGTGTGTCTTGTGTGTGTGTCAGTGTATCTATGTGTGTATGTGCATGTGTGTATGTGGCGAGGCCAGCGCTAGGGGCAGGGCCTCTGGATCCCTGACTCGGGGCGCCCCGCTCCGGCCCGCCCGGGGCACTAAACCCGCCTCGAGTCGCCAGAAGCCGGCGGGGGTACAGGCAGGGTCCCAGCCAGGGAACTTTAATTCCGCCCCGCCCCCAGCCCCGCCCCCAGCCCCGCCCCCAGCCCCGCCCGCAGAAGCCCCGCCTCCGTCCGCGGTAGCCCCGCCCCAGCAGACTCCGCCCCGCGCTAGCTCCCTGAGTCCCGCCACGGGCCCTCGCCGGGCTCCGGAAGCCGCTCTTCCGCGCAGGCGCCCTGAGCCCGCAGCCCCGCCCCCTCGGCGCCAAGCCCCGCCCCGCCGGGTTCGCGCTCGCCGGCCGCCATGGAGGCGCTGTCACCGCCGCTCTGCACGCTGCCGCCGGGCCCCGGGCCGCCCCGCTTCGTGTGCTACTGCGAAGGGGAGGGAAGCGGAGAGGGAGACCGCGGCGGCTTCAACCTGTAGTGAGTGGGGGTCCGCGGGGAGGTGGGGGTGCGGGAGCTCCGCGGGCGGCCCCGCTGACAAGCCCTCCCCCGCAGCGTGACCGACGCCGCGGAGCTTTGGAGCACCCACTTCACGCCGGACAGCCTGGCGGCCCTCGTGGGTAACTGGGCGCCCGGGCGGGTCTGGGAACCGCCACGCCCCTCCCTGCAGTCCAGGTCGCCCGTGGGGTGACCGACCTCTGGGATTCCTGCCCGCCCTGTAGCTGCAGTCTTTACATTCGCCAGGGGTCCCAAGTGGAGCTGGGGTCGGGCAGCTTTCGGGTGCTCCCAGTGGGTCTCGGGTCCTAGGTACCTGGTGACGAGCCCCTGTGCTCTCTAGAAAGCCCGTTTTGGCCTGAGTGCGGCTGAGGACATCACGCCCCGGTTCAGGTGAGACCCAAGCAGGGAGGGAGGGTGACTGGGTGGCGAGCAGGAGGGTCTGGCCACAGCTCTCAGCACCTCTCCTCTCCCAGGGCAGCCTGTGAGCAGCAAGCTGTGGCTCTGACCCTGCAGGAGGACAGAGCATCCCTGACCCTTTCAGGGGGGCCCTCGCCATTGGCCTTTGACCTCTCCAAGGTACCAGGCCCAGAGGCAGCCCCCAGGCTGCAGGCACTGACACTGGACCTGGCACAACGCGTGTGCAGCCTGGAGCGGCGCCTGGCAGGTAGGGTTGGGAGTGGGTACCTCATACTTTCACGAGGCTCCCCTGCTCTTGCCCCCACTCCTGGCACTGAGCAGGGCTCCCACGGGCTTTCTTCCCCAGCTGCAGAACAGACGGCTGCCAGTCCCAGGAAGAGCTCCCAGCCTGCAGCGCCTCAGCTCTTCTTACCAGGTAAGGCATGTCCTCCTGTGACTCAAGTAGGGCTGAGCTCTTGACTCTGGAACTGGTTTTCCTGAACAAGCCTCACACTCCAGAGTCTCTGTCTCTTTGGAGGAGGTTGTGGCTGGGATGCTGTCAGCTTCAGGAGCCGCCCCATCCCGTTTCTCCCAGACCCAGATCCCCAGAGAGGTGGCCCAGGACCTGGAGTCAAGAGGCGGTGTCCGGGGGAGTCTCTCATCAACCCCGGCTTCAAGAGGTACTCGCCCACCAGCCTCCCACACCGAGGGTCCAGCTGGACCCACCCCTTTCTCTGCACCATGGTGACACCCTTCTTCCCTCCCAGTAAGAAACCAGCTGGTGGCGTGGACTTTGAAGATGCCTGAAGGTGCAGTACCAAGTGTGGCCCTGTGGGGTGCCTGCCTGTGAGGGGAGAGGCCCCATTAGAGACCCCACCACCACCTCCACCTGCCCATCCTGGGCCAGGACTAAGGCGGCTCCTCAAGTTCCTTCCCCATCAAATAAACGGCTCCTTTGGCTGGAGGCTCTGGTGGGGCTCTGGCTCCTGCATTGGCCTGGGAAGGGAGCAGGGAAGGTCCCTGGGCCTACACTCTGGGTGTGGGACCACAGCATGTGAACAGATGCAGCAGCGTCTCAGCTCCCTGGAGACTTCCTTGCTGGGCTGGAGGGAGGTGAGCTTTCTCAGACCTGTCCAGCTATCCCAGCCCTACCAGCCCAGAGCTGAGAGGGGCCCAGCCAGGTGGGGCCAGGGTACCCAGGGCAAGAACTCTGTTCCCACCCTCCCAGGCTGCACCCAGGAGCCGAGAGGGGCCCAGCCAGGTGGGGCCAGGGTCCCCAAGGCTTAGAACTCTGTTCCCACGCTCCCAGGCTGCACCCAGGCAAGGCCCAGAGCCCCATAGGAGATGCCCACAGAACGTCCTGTGCAGATCCCAGACCTCCAAGATGCTGTGGAAGTGGCCCTGTGGGGAGGGGAGAGCCTGCCCCTGGGACAGGATTGAGGAATGTAGCCAGCCCCCATCCACCTGGGGCACCCCGCCCCACCCCGGCCTGACTGGTTTGGGAGCCCAATCCGGTCCTGGTGATCCCTGAGGCCACTTGTTGCAGGAGACCTGGAGTCTGTGCACTTAGCGTGGGGGATGGGACCCGCCCTATCCTGGCTCTCCGGCCCCTGTGGTTCTGGGCTATTCAGCTGAGCGTCCCACCAAGGGTTTAGGGGTGGGAAGCACCCCCGACTGGGGGCACTGATCATGGGGCCCCTGGCCCCTCAGATGACAGGACACGCTCACATCGGACAGAGATGCCTTTATCAGGCGGCAGAGGCGGGGCGGGGCGCTAGCGGGGATGCACGGCGGGCCGGTAGGCGGCCAATATCTCGGCGCTATGCGGACACGTGTACTTGAACTCCTTCTCCTGCAGCGCGCTGTCCAGGTATCGGCGGACTCCGCGCAGCTCCGCGGGGATGGGCGCCTGGCGGAAGTGCGCGCACACGGTCTGCGGGCGGGTGGGAGTGCGGGGGCGCGGTCAGGACCTGCGGTCCCCAGCGCCCCGGGCCCCCTGGCGCTCGTCCTCCCCCTGTCCCCCGCGCTCACGTCGACGATGTTCAGCTTGGGCAGCAGGCTGCAGTCCGCCAGCGTGAGCCGGTCGCCATCCAGGAAGCGGCGGCGGGACTCGCGCAGCTGCGGCTCCAGCGCCAGCTCGTGCTCCAGGGGCGCACGCAGGTAGCTGTCCAGCCTGGCGAGGGCGCGCAGCAGCTGCTGGTACAGGGCTGCGGGCGGCGGCGCAGTGAGGACCCCGCCCAGGGCGCCCTCCCGCCTGGGCACCCAGCCCCCTGACCTCGCCTCACCTTCGTCCTGCGCCGGCACCGGGTTCTTGATGAACACGGAGAACTTGTGGAAAATGTCATTGCCGGCGGTGTTGGCCTCCCTGTACCGAGGCGCCAGGCTGGGGAAGCTGCGGGGATGTGGGGGTGAGAGACTCCATCAGACTGGCCGCTGCCCTGTCCCGGCGCCACAGTACCCCGAAGAGCTTTCCTGGGCTCTGTCCTGGGCGCGGCCTCCCTGGGTCCTCCCCCTTAGTCCCCCCACCCTGCTTGGTCTCTCACTCCGGCGGCCCCAAAGTCTCCTCCAGAAAGTCCTCGATCTGCAGCGTGTCTGTCTTGGCCTCGCTGTCACAGAGCAGGATGGGCAGCTGCGAGCCAGGGGCGAAGTCCTTCAGCACGTCTGGGGATCTGTGGGCAGCAGCAGGGTGGGAGGAGGCTGGCCCACTGGTGTGTGAGGCCAGGCAGGCGTCCCCAGGGTGGGCCTCACCTGCGCGTGTCCACAGTGGTGAGAGTGAAGGGTACGCCCTTGAGGAGCAGAACCATGAAGAGCCGCTGGCAGGAGGGGCAGTGCCCCACGCTCTCCCCGTCCTCACTTGCCTGGGTGGGTGGAGCGGGGGTCAGGGCTGGGAGCAGACCCAGGCATCCTGCCACCAGGCTGGATGGGACCCGCCTCCCACTGCCAGCGGAACTGGAGGGACGCCAGGGCTCCAGCTTGGTCGGTGTGACTTCCAAGTGCCCAGTGAGGGCCCTTGACTGGGTCCCCAGGACGTGGGGAGGGGCGCAGAGCTGCTGGGAGCTTGGAGGCCTGGGGCGGGCCTGGCCCCTGGAATCTTATCAGAGCCTGGGCAGAGGCCAGGCCCCTGGGCTCAGGCCCCAAAAGCTGGTTACAGGGGTGGGGTGGGCCCCACAAGCTGTTTTCTGAGTGATTCACCCACCAGACTGGGCACTGTGGCTGGCAGCTCATCAGCCCCCGCCCTGGTCCCTGATCTGAGAGCTGAGGGGCTGCCTAGCCCAGCACCCCGCATCCTAGAACACCCACCTACAGCTCCTGGCAGGCTCCACCACCGGCAGCCTGGCTGGTACCTCCCCACCAAGGGGCTCTCCCCCAGGAGACTGGGCTGGGAACAGGACCAAGGCCACTGGACCCCTCTCTGGGTGACTCTCTGGGTCCTTCTTCCCCTGGCTGTCCCACTTTACTCAGCCTCTGTAGGGCTGAGTCCTCTTAGCCGCCCACAGGAAGGGGCTCAGACATCACTGGGGAGGCCCACCCCCAGCCTGTCCCAGAAAGCAAAACCCAGAAGAGCACCCGCTCCCAGACACCCTCCCTGCAGCTCAGTTTGCCCTGCACCTTGACAAACAGCTGGAGCTTGGTCTCCGCCATGCTGGGAGCTGCCGCGGTCAGGCGCGGGTGGGGACCTGGGGAGCTTTTTAAGTCTCTATGTGAGCCCCGCCCTCCCTGGCCTAGGGGCCCGCCCCGTGGAGCCACCTAGGCGGGCAGATGAAGCTGCCCAGAGTTCAGAGCCGGCTGCCTGAGTAACGCCAGCCCGACCCTGGGGTGTCTGAGCCTGAGGGTGTGACCTTGAGGGGAATGATGTGGGGGGCTGCCCTGGACCTGAGGCTGGCACACACCCAGAGGTCCACCCGCCTGGTGCTGAGTGTGCTGGGAGCCAGCGTGATGGATGGAAACCAGTGGGTGGGGCATGGGGAGAGCCTACAGACCAGAAGGGTGTAGGGGTGTCACCTGGGGAGGGGTGGCTTTGGCTCAGGACCACCCCCACCATGAACCCAAATCAGGACCTGCCCTATGGCCGTCCCTTGGACAAATACTCCTGGTCAGGGACCCCAGCCCAGAAAGCTGTGTGTGGGGTGGGCAGGAGAAATGACGCGACCAGCCTAGCTTCAGTTTCCCGGTCTGCAGGACCAGGGCATCGCAGGGGTGATAGGCCCACCTGGAGGAGCCGCCCCTTCCCACCAACCAAGCTGTCAGGCAGGCCCTCCCCACTCAGGGCGGGGCCCGAATTCCAGACCTGCCCGCAGCAGGGCGGGGGCCAGCCTGGCTTTGGTGTTTGGCCGGCAGTGCAGGTCTCCACCCTCCCCCGTCCCGCCCACTGGCACTCAGCACAGGTTTCTTACCCCCACCCCTTAACCTTTAAAAAGAAGCATCTGGAGGGGTTAGAAGCCACAGCCCGCATGGCTGGAAGCAGGAGGCCAGAGGAGGTTGGTGGGCCGCAGGTGTGAGCCTGCTCGGCCTCCTGGTGTGACTGGAGCCCACAGGTCAGTCTGGCCCTTTGGGGTCACCAACTGTGCCTCCTGATGCTTTGGGGGGGCAGCCCCAGGGAGGTACCCCAAGGGGAGACCCCACCCAGAGGCCAGGCGCCCACAGGATTGGCCTGGCCACACTTCCCCTGGCGGTGTGGTGCCCCAGTGAGCCTGGACAGCGTGGCTGTGGTGGCATGGCTCGCCTGCTCACCTCCCCAGGGCCTTGGCACAGGCCCCACCCCGTCCCCGCGACCGCGCTCCAGTGCTGTCCCAGCCAGCCCAGCCTGACCCCTCTGGATTCCGTGACGGTTGGGGCTCCTGGACACACAGTGCCACGGAGACCTGGAAATACCACGTGGCTCCCCCATCCTTTGTCGTCCTGAGCCCCAACACCCTGCGGAGCCTCAGTTTCCCTCCATCCTGCTTCCACCTCGATTGCAAGCTCTAGTCTTTCTCCACACTGGTGATGGCTCCGCTTGCTGCTTTCCTGAATCCTGGGCAGGCAAATGGCCACCTACGGAGAAGTCCGGGGACTCCCCCAGCCCGGCTCTGCTGCCCCAATGCCCTGTGTCTTTAATACTGACAGACACACCCTCACAAATCCACAGGAAAAGCGATGGCACAGACAGAGGCCATGAACCAGTGGCTCAGAAGGAAAAAAAAACACCATCAAGACACAGGAAGACCATTCACCTCATGCCTGTTTCAAGGAACAAACCAAACCAGATCCCGTTCATGGCTGCAGCGGCAGGAGCAGCCCGGTGTTCTGTGGGCGTGGCTGCGGACTGGGGAGCCGAGGTGGCCATCCAACACTCCCCTCCTGTGCCCTCACCCACCTAGGAATCAGCCCCATGGTTTCCTTGTTCGGTTTAATCAATTCAGTAATTTATTTTCTAGAAACAGGGTCCTGCCATGTTGTCCAGGCTGTCTCCACCTCTTGGCTCAAGTGACCAGCCTGCCCTGACCTCCCAGCATGCCAGAGCCAGAGGGGTGACCCACCACACCCAGCCAGTTTCCCAGTGACAGGCAAGTGAGTTCTGGCTGCCCCACTGCGTGGCATGGCTTTGACGTGGCTCCGTGGCATAGCCACCACCCTGTCTATGGGAGATTCTGGTTGTGTCCAGGGAGGAGCACAGAGAAGGTGGGTCCATGCGTGCCCACTGCAGGGAGGGCCTGAGACTAGGCGGTAAATGACCTGGCTGTGTCCCCTTAAATTTAAATTCATAGGCTTGAGTCCTAACCCCTAGTGCCTCCGAATGTGACTTTATATGGGCCGGGCGCCGTGGCTCACGCCTGTAATCCCAGCACAGTGGGAGGCCGAGGCAGGAGGATCACCTGAGGTCAGGAGTTTGAGACCAGCCCGGCCAATATGGTGAAACCCCGTCTGTACTGAAAATATAGAATTAGCCGGGCGTGGTGGTGCCTGCCTGTCCGTAACCCCAGCTACTCAGGAGACCGAGGCAGGAGAATCGCTTGAACCCGGGAGGCGGAGTTGCAGCGAGCCGAGATTGGTCGGTTGGAACTTATCAAGTAAAAGTGTGGTGAGTAGGAGAGGCCCTAATCCACGACGACTGATGTCGGTGTAGACAGGTGAGTTTGGACACAGACGCTCAGGGAGGGCCACGTGAAGATGCAGGCGGACATCAGGGTGACGAAGCTGCCAGCCCAGGAGCCAAGCGGATGTTGCCGAGGCCCTGGGAGGAGGCAGCGCAGCCCGAGCGCCCGTCCCCGTGTCTGACCTCCAGGCTGCTGGGCAGTGAGCTTCCGTTCACCGACGACAGTGGATTGTGAAGACGGAGTCTCGCTCTGTGGCCCAGGCTGGAGTGCAGTGTCTCGATCTCAGCTCACTGCAACCTCCACCTCCCGGGCCTCCCGAGTAGCTGGGATTACAGGAGTCCGTCACCACACCTGGCTAATCTTTTGTATTTTTAGTAGAGATGGGGTTTCACCGTGTTGGCAAAGCTGTTCTCAAACCCCTGGCCTCAGGCGATCCTCCCACCTCGGCCTCCCAATGTCAGCTGTTGTTTTAAACCCCTCACTTCGTGGCTCTTTGCATGGCAGTGCTAGGAAACTAAGAATGTGGGGAAACGCCAGGAAACTGAAGAAAATCAGCTTGTGCAGAGCTGAGAAACGCGAGGCGCCGTCGGAGGGGTGACCCCTGACCGGCAGAAACGCACTTCCAGCCTGTGCTTCCTGTCTGGCCACACTGTTTGCATTTTCTACCGCATTTTCGTCATACCACATTTTCTACCACAGTTTCGTAATGTTTTGACGAAAAAGCAGTAATTCACAACCACTAACCTTAAGTAGACCCTGGTTCCCCGATCCGTAAACCTCCCGTCCCCTGCGGCGCCTGCCCCTGATTCATAGAGCCACCGTCAGCGGGGCCAAGCAAAGGTCCTGGGGCTGCAGCTCTGGGAGTGACTGGTGGATTGAAACTCTGTCCCTCCCCGACACCTCTTCCTGAGGGCCCCTTCCAAGGGGCCCTTTTTTTGTAGACAGGGTTTCACTCTGTCGCCCAGGCTCAGGTGCAGGGGCATAGTCAGCTCACTGCAGCCTCCACCTTCTGCGCTCCTTCCCTCACCCCCCCCACATTTCAGCCCCTCAGACCCTTTTCCTATTTTTTTTTTTTTTTTAAGACAGCGTTTCGCTCTTGTTGCCAACGCTAGGGTGCAGTAGGAGGATCTCAGCTCACCACAACCTCTGACTCCTGGGCTCAAGCGATTCTCCTGCCTCAGCCTCCCAAGTAGCTGGGACTACAGGTACGTGCCACCATGACTCACTGGCCAATTTTTTATATTTTTAGTAGAGATGAGGTTTCATCGTGTTAGGCAGGATGGTCTCAATCTCATGACCTCGTGATCTGCCTGCCTCGGCCTCCCAAAGTGCTGGGATTACAGGTGTGAGCCGCTGTGCCCGGCCTGGGCAGCTCCGTTCTGAAGGGAGACACACAGCTGTGGGGAGCCGGAGGGCTGGGGGCGGGTGTCTTGGTGCAGAGCTTTCCCTGCTCTGTGCGTGGAGAGGGCCTAGAAGCAGGGAGGTCTCAGGAGCAGCGTGCAGACCAGAGCTCAGATCGTGGTTCCAAAGCCCGTCTGCCCTGGAAGGAGCCAGGCTTCTGCTCTACACTGTGTCCTCCCCAAAATCTGTGTTGAAAGCCTGGCCCCTCCAGTGATGATATTAAGAAAGGGGCCTTTTGGGGGTGAGTGGGTCATGAGGGTGAAGGCCTGGTGAACAGCATCAGTGCCCTCATCAAAGGGACCCCGGAGAGCTCCCTTGTTCCTTCCACCACTTGAGGAGTCACACAACCCAGAAGGTCCCTCGCCAGAACCGGCTGCACTGGTGCCCTGATTGCGGACCTCAGCCTCCAGATCTGTGAGAAATGAACACCACCCATCCGGGGCCTTTGCACCGCAGCCCTGGTCAGACTGAGGCAGGCTCCTCGGAGAGATGCTGGTTCCAGGCGTGGGGCAGGGAAGGTAAGGACACACCCAAAGCACGTCAGGGACTGTTAAGGGGACACAGGGCCGGGCGCGGTGGCTCAAGCCTGTAATCCCAGCACTCTGGGAGGCCGAGGCGGGTGGATCACGAGGTCAAGAGATCGAGACCATCCTGGTCAACACGGTGAAACCCCGTCTCTACTAAAACCACAAAAAATCAGCTGGGCATGGTGGCGCGTGCCTGGAATCCCAGCGACTCAGGAGGCTGAGGCAGGAGAATTGCCTGAACCCAGGAGGCGGAGGTTGCTGTGAGCCGAGATCACACCATTGCACTCCAGCCTGGGTAACAAGAGTGAAACTCTGTCTCAAAAAAAAAAAAAAAACAAAAAAAAAAGAGGACACAGAAGCCACGCTGGAGGGCACCCACTGGCCGGAGCTCGGGCAATCGGAGCACATGACGACAGTGGGTTGTGCCTTACAAATGGTTAAAATGATCAGTTTGCATAGATTTTACCACCACCGAAACGTTGTAAAAGAGCCAGATGCGGTGGCCCACGCCTGTAATCCCAACACTCCGGGAGGCCGACGTGGGAGGAACCGTGAGCTCGGGGGTTCAAGACCTACCTGGGCAATACAGCAAGACCCTGTATCTACAAAAATAAAAATTAGCACATGTCTGTGGGAGGCTGAGGCGGGAGGATCACTTGAGCCCAGGAGTTAGAGGCTGCAGTGAGCTGAGATTGCACCACCACACTCCAGCCTGGGCAACAGAGCAGGACCCTGTCTCAAAATAAGTAATTAATTAAAAGATGGCAGTGAAGAGTGTTAACACGTGGATTGTTTTAAACCTGCAAGTCTGTACTGATACATGTTTGAAAGTGGAAGAGGCCTTTGGTGAGAGAAAATGCCAGTGAATAGAAATGGAA